GGGGGGGCAGTTTAGTTGCCCACTTCGATGGGAACCTGAAGCACTACCCCAGTTTCAGAAGACGTCCTATATGCACTGCATTTGCTTCGCAATGACTTTAAAGATGAGGAGGAGAAAGTGGGTTTTATTGTGTCTCATTTGCATGGAGACGCTAGAGCGTGGCTGCGCAATTTGTGGCACGAAGATGGTCCTGCCCGCCGCAATTCTGATGAATTTATCAAAGCTATGGACGCTTGTTTCCAGTCCACGGTGGATGTTGATGTTGCGCGCCGAGAGATGCACGGACTCCGACAAGGCAAAGCCACTGTGCGTCAGTACCATTCGCGCTTTTTTGCATTGCTGACTGTATTGGGCTGCGAGAAAGACTCAAAACCAGTGAGAGATTTGTTCTGGGAGGGACTCCACGGCTCCATAAAAGATGAATTGGCCAGGGGTGACAGACCTCAAACCCTAGCAGAAGTAGTACAGAGGGCTCTTGCGATTGGAGTGCGACACGAAGAACGTCCTTGGCACAGTGAGGAAGGTCGCCAGGTGCATGCGCCAGCGAGGGCACCTCCTCTTATCCCCAGGGAGTTCGGCCAGGCGCATCCTTCGCCTCTGATGCGGCAGGGGGAGGAACCAATGGAGCTTGGCGGTGCTAGAGCTCAGACAGCAGCCAGAGCCCCAACGTCCGGTGCAGTCAAGGCGAAGCCTCCTAGAGGGAACAGGAAATGTTACATCTGTGACAGTGCACAGCTCATGGCTAAAGAGTGTCCCCAGAGGCTCCAGAAGCACACTGCAGCGTTAGCAACGGTCGCAGCAGACGTGCTTCACGAAGAGCAGTTTCAGGGAAACGACAGTGCCTGGCTGGAGACAGCGATGCTGGGGCTCAGCCAGGCGAGTCTGTAGAGCAGTCCCCAGCGATTTTGCAGCACACAGACCCCTTACCACCCAAGCCAGCGGTGCAGCTCACTGCAACACTCCAGTTGCCGAATGGAACCACCCTGGAAGTCCCCATTACAATCGACTCTGGTAGCAACGCGGACTTTGTGGGGGTGCAGTTCGTCAAGCAGCATCGCATAGCGCTTCTGCCAGCTACGACGCCCCTGAACGTAGTCACGGTCGATGGCAGGAAATTGCTAGGAGGGCAAGTTGTGCAACAGACGCCTCCCATGGTGATGCAGATTGGAAATCATCGAGAAGTCATTAGCTTCAACGTCACCCGCCTATCAGACACGCCTATAGTGTTAGGCATGAGCTGGCTAGAGAGACACAGTCCAGCAGTGGCGTGGTATCAGCGACAGCTCACCTTTTGCTCATCGTACTGTGCTCAACATTGCATCCAGTCCAGCCAAGAGGAGGAAGCTGGGCAGCAGCTGCAACTCGGCATGGTGCAGGCAGTCCCCCGCAAGTACGAGGGATTTTTGGAGGTTTTCTGCGAGAAGGAAGCTGACCAGTTGCCACCCCACAGGCCTTACGACTGTGCGATTGACCTGTTGCCGGGGGCGAAGCTGCCGACTGCAAAGCTGTATTCCATGTCTGAAGATGAGATGCAAGAACTCAGGGAGTTCATAGAGCACAATTTGAAGCGCAGATTCATTCGGGAATCCAAAGCAGTGGGGGGCAGTCCTGTGTTTTTTGTGAAGAAGAAGGACACGCCCCAGAAGAGACTCATTGTGGACTATCGAGCCATAAACTCGATGACAAAGCCCAAGGCCTTTCCCATGCCCAAGATTGACGACCTCCTAGCGACCGTGCGGAAGCGGAGGATCTTCACCAAGTTGGATCTGCGCGGAGCGTACAATCTCATACGCATGCGTGAGGGCGATGAGTGGAAGACGGCCATGTTCACGCCTCTGGGCACGTATGAATACAGAGTTATGCCTTTTGGTCTCCAAAATGGATCCCACTGCTTCCAAGCCTTTATGCATCACGTGCTAGCGGGACTCCTCTACAAGAAGTGTGTGTGCTTCCTCGACGACATCCTGATCTTCTCGGAATCGCCAGAGGCTCACGAGAGAGACGTAAAGGAGGTCCTGCAGAGACTACGGGAACACAGACTCTACGCCAAGTTGGAGAAGTGCCAGTTCGATGTGACGGAGGTGGATTTCCTGGGCTACAAGCTGTCCGACAAGGGGCTGGCCATGGACAGCGTCAAGGTCCGCGCGGTGTTGGACTGGAAGAGCCCGCGAAATCGGAAGGAAGTCCAGAGGTTCGTCGGTTTCGCCAACTTTTACCGCAAGTTCATCAGAGGTTTCGCGAAGGAGACGACAGCAATCACGGACACTCTCAGTTCCAAGAAGAAGAAGTTCACTTGGACGGACCAGGCGGAGCGCTCTTTTCAGAAGCTTAAAAGCCTCTTCGCCTCCGAGGAACAGCTGCTGCACGTGAATCCCGGCAGGCCCATGCGGGTCGAGACTGACGCATCAGACAGAGCGGTAGGGGCCGTCCTTTTGCAAGAAGATCCGCAAGGGAACTGGAGGCCCTGTGCTTTCTACTCCCGGAAGCTCAGCAAGGCGGAACAAAACTACACCATCTGGGACAGGGAGTTGTTGGCCATTCACGCGGCTTTCAAAGCGTGGCGGCACTTCCTCATAGGAGCCAAGCACACCGTGCAGGTCCGCACGGACCACAAGAACTTAGAGTATTGGCGCACGGCGAAGCTCCAGAGCCAGAGGCACATGCGCTGGGCGGAATTCTTCGCGGATTTCGACTTCCGAATAGAGTACATCCCGGGGGACTCCAATGTCATAGCCGATGCGCTCTCAAGGAAACCGCAATATCTCGAGGAAGCGGCAACAGTAGCAGCCAAGCACATTTTCGCACCGCAGGCGTGGGCGTGCGCTTCAGTCGCCGTCGACCTGGACGCGGTGCGACGCGCGCTGCAGACGGATCAGTTTGCACAATCCAAGATGGAAGAGCTGCGCAGAGGTACAACGAGAGACGACGAGTTCCAGATACACGACGGGCTGTTAACTCACAAAGGTGCCCTCTACGTGCCAGGGGACGATCTCCGCGCAAAGGTTCTGCAGCAGTTGCACGACGCGCCCAGCGCGGGCTATTTCGCCCAGCGCAGGCCAAGGGGAGTCACAGGGGGGACTCGTCAGGAGCAGGGGAGCAGCAGGGGAACCCCGAGTGGGAGTTGGAGATCGGGGCTGGCTTCCCCGCCGGAACGGAGTGAAGAGGGTGGAGTTCCCAGTGTGACAGACGAAGCAGAGCAGGAAGCAGAGAGGGGAAGGAGATCGGGGCAAGACGTCCTGCCGGAAGGGGCGGAGAGTAGTACAGAGAGTAGTGTAACTGTCAAGAGGAAGGTCAGAGGTAGCGAACGCGCGCCAAGTTCAAATGTGGAGGTGTGCGGAAATGCGGAGAGCCCGGAGGAGGAGCCTGGTCCCAAAGCACGGAGGAGGGGGGAGCAGGCGTCTGGGGACTCAGCGTCAGGGGAATCCAGGAGGGGAGGAACCCAGGGGGGCAGAAAGACCCTGCAGAAAAGGAAGGACAGGAAGAGGTGGACCAGCACAAGCCTCTTAAACTGGTGTAGAGGCGGGACTGATTCAGAGGGGACTTCAGCGGTCTAAGAGTAACAGACATGGGGCTGCGCGCCTCGGCTGTGGAGCAAACAATGTACTTCAATAAAGACTTTTGTAAATAAAGTGGACTTGGCGTTGGTCTCTTGTGAGCTGGGACCTGAGGCGGCCCTGACATTATGTAATGATCTTCCTCTGTTTCACTTCAGATAATTCAGTGGGGCCTCTTCTCAGTTCATTCTCTTCTGGATCAGTGCCTTAATCCTTTGAAGATTTTGTATATCACATAATAGTCATTGAGGTGTCCCCAGATGTTGTTGTCCAGATCCCATCCACTTCAGCCAGCAGGGCAGACAGTCAAGGATGATAGAAACTCTAATCTGGACCTCACCACTTGGACTCTGCTGCCCTATATCCTTCCTATTGAAACAAATGTGAAAATAAATTTTGGACGCTATAGATTTATCCCGGTCTGGTGCATGCAATGTATTTTGTTTTGCAGCTGTGTGATTTGTGCTCATATTGTATTGTGGTGGCCATTGGCTATAAACAATAAAATTTATAGATACAGTAGATTGAACTGCAAAAATAAGTAATAAAATAATAAAACTATTTTTATATTTTTTTGGTCCTCACTCCCAAATGGTGTGTATGTTTTTGCTTATATTGGGGGTGGGGTGGGGGGCGGAGAAGTATGAAGGCCAAAACCGCTCCCCTCCTCTGTTGAATGGATGCAGGAGACCAGAGGCAGTGAATGAAAAAGCAGGGAAAGACAAACCCTCCAAGTGCCACTATTTTCCAGGGATGTCCCTGATTTAGAGAAGCCGTCCTGGTTTCTGATATGATCCCAGAATGTCCCGCTTTTCCTTAGGGTCTCCCTATTTTCATTGAAGAAATGCTGGAGGGAATGGAATTATGCGACCCCCAGGCCCTCTGAGAAGGCAATCCTGTATAGGAAAGTTTTTTAATGTTTAATGTTTTGTTATGTTTTTTATATATGTTGGAAACTGCCCAGAGTGGCTGGGGCAGTGTAATAAGATGTGCGGTGTATAAATAATAAAATTATATTTATGGAAAGGGATGTTCCTATTTTCATCAGAGAAATGTTGGAGGGTTTGGAAAGGTCGGTTGCTGGAGCTAAGTGATTGCCAGATCCCAACCAGAAGAGCTGGGAACTGGACTGCCTCCTCCAGCTACCCATTCGGGCTGCAGGCATAGCTGTCAACCTTCCCTTTTTTTGCGGGAAATTCCCTTATTCCAGTGCCATTTCCCGCTGCTATCCCGGATTGTTAGATATCCTGCAGACTGTCCCAGGGAAAGGAGAGGCTGCTGATCCCTTATTTTCAAATCTGAAAATTGACAGCTATGGCTGCAGGGTGGCATCGTCCCAGCTTTCTGAAAATATTTACTGATGAGGTAACCAGTGACTGTACATCGGATCACAAGGAGACTTATTTGTGCAACATTCTGGATAGCATATAAGATGCCAGGTAGATTCCAATGATACAATAAATTTTGAGGGACAGCGCAAGGGGGCGCATCCAGCCTCGCAGCCTCCCAGGGCCCAACCCACAGCCAGCGAGCTCCGATGCTCAGAGAGGCAGGAAACGGGGCCAGCCAGGGGGACTCGAGAGCGGCTGCACTTTCCTGTCCCCCGCCGAGGAGAGCGGAGGAGCAGCGGCCCGTGGCCTGGCGAGTTTCCCCGGAGAGGAGCCGGATTCCGCTGCAGGGACGGAGCGAGGAGTCCGAGGTGCAGGAGGGGGAGGAGGAGAGCACGTGGGCCTGGCAGGATCAGGCCCCGAGTAGAGCCAGAGGCTGCAGGGCGCCCCCCAACCGGGCAGGAAGGGGAAGGGGCGCAGCTGAGGGGCAGGGCATCTGCAGGAGGGCACAGGGGCAAACATCTCTGGCTCAGGCTGGCACGGACCCTGCCGGAGACCCTGGGGAGCTGCTCCCTTCAGTCCTGAGCTCAAGGGGCAGAACGAGGGGTCCAAGGCAGCTGCTGATTCGCGATGGACGATGCATATAGTCGCTCATTCATCAGCGGCGTAGCTGGGGCTTTTGCCGCCCCTCTCCCTGTCCCTCAGCAGGGAGCCCAGCCCATTTCGACGGTCCTCCCCACGGAGGAGAGGGAAGGGGAGGCGGGGGGGGAGGAAGAGCAGTGCAGCAGGGAGGTGCCCCTCTCACTCTGCAGCCCCCCTGACACCCTTTGCAAGCCACTACTCCTGCCCCCCCTTCCTCTGCCAGTGCCATTGATAAACCTATCGCCCTCCTTTGTGAATTGGTCTGATTGCCTTTGAAAGCTCTCTTTGCCACCACCATCGTCGCATCTTGTGGCAATAATGTCCATCAGATTCATTTAGCAAGGAAATGGTTTCTTTTGCCTGTCCCAAATCAAGGTACGCTGTGCCTACACATGGAGGCTCTGTTGTTCTGTCACGGCTAATAAAACAGCTCATAGATCTTTTCCCCGGAGAATGCATCTGATCTTTCCCAAACTATCAAAGCTACTGACCTCTTGTGTCTGCGTGTGAATAAGTGTGACAGGCGTAAAACTGTCTCATTAATTGTTTTATTTCCACCTTCCTCAGTAATACAGCTGAGTTTTCAGATGAAGGCTGAGGGTTGAAGTGGGTGACAGTTTTGAGAATGCAGGGGAAAGGAGGATTCTTAAGAAGTGTGGCATATGGAAATGAATTAATGATAATAAAAACGTTGAAGACAGTATTGTGAAAGACTGAGGAAGGCGAAATTGAAATTAGCTATTCATGTTCAGATTATTACTCCTTTCATTTCTATACTGCTTCATATTTTTAAGAAAAAAATCTAATTAGTAATTAGAGAGAAATCTCATTGCAATTTGTGTCCATTGGATGTTGAGAACATTAACTCTGTAGATCCAGGAGTTCTCTCCTCCTGATAGTCTCAGATTTGATTGTTCTTTCTGATAGAGCAGAAGGAACGAAACATTTATGGGCTTAAAGCTGCATTGATTCTGGAGGCCACATTCCAGTGAGCTTTGTGGCCAATGTATGCACATGCATGCTCACACAGAAAAGAGATGCAGACCATAAAGTCACATGCACACGCGCCAGAGGTGCTGCACACACTCACCAGACATGCCATCTAGCATACATACAAGTCTTGCAAACACAAACAACATGTTTAGACCTTCCAATCCCAGTGCTGGGGGAGGAGAAATAAGAGCACAAGAAGACTCTGCTGAATTAGCAAGGAGATCTGTGGAAAAAAGACCCTTCTTGTTCTTTAGAAATCCTCTTTAAAGAGCAGCCAGAGGGATCATTTATTTCCAGAGCAGGGCTTTTACCCCATTTCAGCACTGTGCTTGTTTGTGGTGAAATTGGAGTTTAAAAGATCTCTCCAAGGGCCCTTTAGGCATCTTTCTCTCCAGGACAGACAGAGATCTTCATCCTATGATCAGATCAGGAGATGGAAACGGCAGGGACTAGCAGGACACACCCTGAGGCAGTGGCGTAGCGTGGGGGGTGCAGGGGGGGCCGGCCGCACCGGGCGCAACATCTGGGGTTAGGGCAAATCCATGGGTTAGGGGGCGCAAATCCATAGGTTAGGGGGCGCAAATCCACGGGTTAGGGGGCGCAAATTACTTGCCTTGCCCCGGGTGCTGACAACCCACGCTACGCCGCTGCCCTGAGGCTTGGCAAGCCATATGCAGCCAATGGACTGCAAGGTAGAATGTCTTCAGTCAAGAGAGTTTGTGACCAAATTTAAAATATTTTGGATATTCCTTTTGTCCTTTTGTTCTTAGGCTGTGCAGATACCATACATTTAAAGCACGTGGCTTCCCCCAGAGAACCACAGGACCTGTAGTTTATTGCTACAGTTCTCAACACCCCTAACAAACTGCAGCTGGCAGGATTTCTTGGGTGAAGCCATGTACTTTAAATGTTAGCTGGGTCTGTCGCAGCCTTAATCATATACAAAGACCTGTTGCTGCCTTTCCAACATGCTAGAAGTTGCAGCCAGGATCAGCATTCCCTGTCCACGGAACATGCTCAGTCCTCTCACTGGGTTGTTGTTGGATTTCCTTCCACTGCCTTGGTTCCCCCACCCCCAAATATTATTTGTACTTCCATAAACCTTGATGTTTCCCCCAGTCTTTGGATAACTTCCCCTCGTCCCTGGGTGGAGTCGTTAGGGTGACATAATGATTGTCATTCACAGCCTGAACATCAGAAATAGAAAGAGTAATAATATATTTCGAAAATTGGCAAATGGTTAAAAAATGTGCTTTTGTTTTTATTCTTGAGTTTTATTTTACTTTGTCTTTATTTCATTTCCAGCAGGGTGGCATAAAAATGGAAGAGCAGGGACCCAGGAGACCCATTCAAAGGGAGAGACTGGAGTGTAAAGGAAGGAAACCTCCTGCCGGCCAAGTTGTGGCCACAAGGGATCTTCTGCCTCGGGCAGATTTATGTCAAATTAAGCAGGAGCCAGAGGAGGGGCAGCCGCAGCAGCACTGGGATGCCGAGAAGCAGGATTTCCTGAAGACGATGCAGCCTCCTCGTTCAAAGTGGGAAACCCCACAGGCTCCCAGTCCTCCCCAATCTGGGGATGGTGTCCTCTCCTTCAGGGGAGCTGCGGATGCCAGTCGGTGGCCCAGTGGGAGAGCAGGGGGGACAGACCAGACCCTGCTCCCAGACACTGAGGGGCTTCTGGGAAAGGTAAGTGCCCTCCTCTCACCTGGGTTTCCAGCACCTGGAGGTAACAGGTCCACTGCCTCTAGACATGGAGGTTCTATTTAGCTTTGGTGGTGAATATTCCTCCCCCCTGCACTTTCTCTCTAATCCACTTTAAAAAGGCTTGCTAGACCAAACTTTCTAAATGGGTAGCTGTACAAATTTACCAGCTGTGGTCCTGCACTGGCAGCAAGGCTAACAAACAGGGGAGCTGGGAATGTGCTCTTGCCATCTCTCCCTGCATCTGCCTCCTGACCTAATTGTCCCAGCTTACCTCATGATTGGGCCGGCCCTGAGGGTGAACTGTGATGAAACCAGGCAGTCTCTTATGAGCCATAACTAACAAACTTTCCATTTTGCCTAAACCAGGAAACTGCAGCTGCCAGCTTTGGAATAAGCTGGGATATTAAGCTAACTTCAAACTGTGCTTGGTCAAAACAGGAAACTCTGGTTGATCAGTAGCTTCGTGGTTTGACTGATCCCACTGATAGAAGTAAAAATAGGAACCCTGTTGCATTCAAAGGGGTTATTTGGACAGAGTCTGTGATCAGCATGCCAATCAGGACAGGCTTAAAAACTAAAGGGACCCCTGACCATTAGGTCCAGTCGTGGCCGACTCTGGGGTTGAGGCGCTCATCTCGCATTATTGGCCGAGGGAGCCGGTGTACACCTTCCGGGTCATGTGGCCACCATGACTAAGCAGCTTCTTGCGAACCAGAGCAGCGCACGGAAACGCCGTTTACCTTCCCGCCAGAGCGGGACCTATTTATCTACTTGCACCCGGGGAGCTTTCGAACTGCTAGATTGGCAGGAGCAGGGACCGAGCAACGGGAGCTCACCCTAGGCTCTGTGGTTAACCCACAGTGCCACCCGCGTCCCAGGACTGGCTTAGGAAGCTATTATTATTACTATTATTATTACTATTATTATTACTATTATTATTTGCATCCTGGGTTTCCTCTGCCCATCTGGGTAGCTTCCAACAAAATAAAAACCATCAAAAATTTCCTTGTAAAAGGCTGCCTTTGGGAGTCTTCCATTTTGTAGAAATGGCCTTCGGTTTTAAAGAATTGCCCTCTTTAAGGAATCACTTGGTGTAAACATGTATGTTGTCCTCTAGGTCCAAACACACACAGACACACACACAGACACATAGTAGGAGCAAGCAGTTCTCTGAAGTGCTTATCTTGCGAACTTGCCATCTAAGTTGTTTACTCCTGACCAAAGTTCCTGTTTCCCAAAAGGACAGGAGGGGGAGCAGAGGAGGAAACGGATGGGTTTGAAGGCTCTTTCTGCCTCTCTCACCTGAAGAACAAGAGCAAAGGGATTTTGCAGGGCAGGAGGACAGCGGAGGCGGCAGCGAGGGCAGAGGGAGCAGTGGGCGGATCCCCCGCCTCTCCCAGGGGGTCCAGATGCAAGCAAGGGGCTTCCTTCTTCACCATGCAAGGGCCACCCATGTATTCAGAGCAGTCCTTTGCAGATTAACTCTTAAGTTCCATGGGATCTACTCTCAGGCCACTAATGTGCATACCATGCCAGCCTTAGGAAGGGAGGTGGGACAGGCAGATGAAAGAAATTGCCAAAGGTGTTTGAAAATGGGTGGAGGCTCTTGGGAAGGGGGTGCCCGCTTGTGAATGAACTTTATTACGGTCACAGACCAGGATTAAAAAAGCATATAGATAGAATAGCAGTTAGGATTTTTTAAACCAATAATTGTTAGAGCAAATTAGGACATGGAAACAGGCATAGGATAAAACATCTAAATAAAATACAAGATTAAACACGTATAATGGATGGATAAAAAAACTGATAATTAAAACAGATAAGAACTAAAAACAAACAAAGACACACAGTTAAAACAACTGTAAGAGCATAAGAACTAAAAGACTCGCAGTTAAAACAACCATAAGAGACTGCAGAGTAGAAGCCTCTTAAATAGAGGACACTCACAACAATAGAAACTGCTGTGCAAATATGGTTAAAACAGACAATTAAAACAATGTTCAACGCTAAATTTAGAAGCAATGTACAACAATAAACTGTCCCAGGGAGTTGACTCAGAGTCACCCATGGAACCGTGTTTGGGGCTTTTCATGTCGGACTATTTTGAGTTGGGCGATGGTCTGCGCCTACAGAAATGTACACAGAATCTGGCGACCATCCAGGTCATCTTCTGATCTTTGCCTAACAGCAAGAGGTCAATTTTTGCTTTTGCGGGAGGTCGGCTAGCCTCACCAGTAGGGGATCCATGCTCTTACTACGTGCCTCTTCATAAAAGGGACATTTAAAGAACAAGTATTCTGGGCTTCCTATCTCTCCCAATGGACAGGTGCAAAGTCTCTGAGCATACGGGACCCTTCTAAAGGCTCCATCCAGGACCGGCGAGGGAAGAGCTGAGCTTCTGGCGAGTGTAAAGGCCCTTCTTGCATCCCTAGATACGAGAAAGAAGAGATATGCTGCCGGTGCGGCTATATCTCTCTCGATTTCTCCAATTCTATAGTCGGGGCACCTCGCACAGTCCTGCTGTCTCTCGGTGTCTAATATTCTTTGCCTGAACGTAGCTTTTGCCTGGTCCAAGCCTAGACTTAGAAGGGCTTGAGGGGCAAAACCCAGTTTCCGGAGGGTGTTCAGGACTGCAGTCTGCCAGCCCGACTGGAATTGGTCTCAGAGGATCAATGGGGCTATCCCTTGGGGGAGCAGGTTCAATGTCAGCCATTTGTAGATTGATGTTAGGCAGATGCTAGCCTCCACTCTCATCATCCCCGTTTCCAATCTAACCCATGCGTTTGAGACACATCTGGGGACTTGGAGGAGAGGTCTAAGAAGTCTAGATTGAACTCTCTCAAGGGGGGAGAAAGCAGAGGAAGGTGGACCCAAAAAGAACCATAGAGGAGTTGTGCCAAAGTTTTGGCCTTGTATAATTTTGGAGCTGCGGGAATGAAGAAACCCCCTTGTGCTCTGAAGAATTTAAGGATACAATTAGCGGTTTTTTCCGCTAGGGGGTGCCCAATTGGGGCTTCTCCAGGGGCAGCAGAATGTCTTGGGCAGGAGAATCCCTGCAGGGGCTCTCAGACTCCCTTGGCTTCTTCTTCTTCCCTCCCTCCCAGGAAGCTGCAACTTGCTCTGGATTCTGCGCTCCTCAGGAAGCTGAACCTGCAAACCTAGCTGAGACTGAACCTGCAACCCTGGCCAGGATGGAAGGAGGAAGATGGACGGTTGACCTGGTCAGGCTGTCTCCCGCATCCCTCCCCACAACCTCTGAGCATTCCCTCCCAGGACCCTTGGAGAAATCTGGTGAGTTCCAGGGGAGAGGAGATGGGGACAGGGATAGATGGATGGCGGAGGGAGAAAGAGGAAAAGATGGAGAGGAGACAAATGGAAGGAAGTTCCTGACAGGAAGAAGGAAGGGGTGAGGCCTTCTCCAAAGCTGCTCTTTGTTTCTTGAATCCTTTTCCTAAAGTAGTGGGAGCAGATTTTCTTCCTCCAGGCTTTGAAATCTTAGGTGTTATTTCCACGGTGGGAATAATTGATGATAATGATGTTGCACACCAATCCTGAAAAATGGGTGAAGGGGAATGGATATGCTTCCCATAATTATTTATGATGAATGTATTTAAATTGTTTCTGTTACTCTTATTTTTTATAGACAGGGTCAGAATGATACATTCCACCAGCACCAAAACACAATAAATGCATGCACCTTCCCAGTCTGGTAGGGTTCAGGGACAAAGGACCAGTTATCATGATACACGATTCCTGTGGCTGGAGGCTCTACACTTAGGATTGGGCATATAAAGTCAAAGAGCGGATGGTATTATAAGCAAATTGTGTAAACTTGCCAATCTTACAGACTGGGGTTGTTTGTGAGAGGGAGGGAGGGAGTGGGATTATAATTTATAGCGCCCTTGTGTAATGGCTTGGTTCTCCCGCACAGACATACAACTCCAGTAGGAATTATCTCAGGTTTATTGCTCAAACTCACAAATCACTGTGGAGCTCAGTCTTCGGCCTGTTCATCCCAGCTTGCAGTTGCCGAGTCCTCCAGCAAAGAAGCCCCCACTTTCGCTTTCTTTCCCCCTCTTCTCGCAGATTCTCTTGAGCCTACGATTTTTTGGACAGGCTATTTCTGGGGTCTCTGTGTCAGAGCTCAAACCGGAGATAACAGTCTGTGCCCCCCCCCTTGGCACCCCCTCTTCCTGCTCTTTGTTCTTTCCTCCTGCTGCAGCTTGGCTGCTCCTCTCCTGCTTCACATTCCAACTGAATCACATCTCTTGCATTCTCAGGCTCTGTCAGCGGAGGCACGAGAGGCTTGAGATTCACAGAGCTGACAGCCTGTAATTTTGTCCATCCCTAAGCTTCCTTGGAGATACTGTGGTACAACCTTGGTGCAAATTTCAAAATAAGTACACAAAGCCAACAAAGAGACTTAGAGGTTTATAGTGGCACCAGCTTTCCTGGTCAAGAGTCCTCTTTGTCAGACTGCAGCCCACAAAAGCTTAGACCATAATACATTTATCTGCCTTTAAGGGCTGCAGAAGATGAATAAACAGAAGCGTAGTTCATTTATGGAATCTATCTTACAGGAGACAGTGACGGCCAGCAACATGGATAGCTTGAAGAAAAGGATAAGACAGACGTCTCTGCTCTGCCCTCGCGGTCTTAGGCAATAACGCTTCTTAATACTACTGTCTGGAAAGCACACGAAGGCAGAGAAGATTCTTGTGCTCCAATCCTGCTTGCCAGTTTCCCACAGGCATCTGGTTGGCCTCTGTGAGAAGAGGATGCTGGACTAGGTGGGCCTTTGCCTGATCCAGCAGGCTCTTCTTAGGTTCCAATCTATTGCAATATTTTTACAGTTACATGTAGCACTTAAGTTTTATATATTTCGCAATGGAGACACTGTTACTTGAGCCTGAGATCATTTCTTCACTTCAGAAAGAAAAAATAGATGTGTCTAATAAGCCAATTCCACCATAGATCTGTATTATAAAACGATGCTGCTTTATTAAGTTTGAATGGAGTGATCATGTGTTGCTCTTGCCACTATCTCATCAGCTTTCGTAAAATTTGGAACATAGAGAGGATAGTGGAGAATGAAGGTGTTGAAATGAGAGAAGGTACAGATAGGGATTGACATGTGTTCAGTTCCCTTTTTGTCTTTCTTGAAAGTCTAACAGTATTCTCTTTCCTCCCAGACTCCCAAACAGGTGAGGAAGATGAAAGTCAGAATTCTATGGAGCCATATGTGAATTTATGGGGGAAAACAAAGAAATTGAGGATACAACAAAAAAGTCACAAAGGAGAGAAACTATTTGAATGTATTGAATGTGGAAAGAGCTTCAGTCGAAATGATACACTTAGAATACACCAACGAACTCATACAGGGGAGAAACCATTTAAATGTATTGAATGTGGAAAGAGCTTCAGTGAAAATGAAGCACTTAGAAGACACCAACGAACTCATACAGGGGAGAAACTATTTGAATGTACGGCATGTGGAAAGAGCTTCAGTCAAAGTGTAGCACTTAGAATACACCAAAGAACTCACACAGGGGAGAAACCATTTGAATGTTTTGAGTGTGGAAAGAGCTTCAGTGAAAGTGGAGCACTTAGAAGACACCAACAAACTCATACAGGGGAGAAACTATTTGAATGTACGGCATGTGGAAAGAGCTTCAGTCAAAGTGGAAAACTTAGAATACACCAAAGAATTCACACAGGGGAGAAACCATTTGAATGTTTTGAGTGTGGAAAGAGCTTCAGTGAAAGTGTAGCACTCAGAAGACACCAACAAACTCACACAGGGGAGAAACCATTTGAATGTTTTGAGTGTGGAAAGAGCTTCAGTGTTAGTGGATCACTTAGAATACACCAACAAACTCACACAGGGAAGAAACCATTTAAATGTATTGAATGTGGAAACAGTTTCAGTGATAGTGGATCACTTAGAATACACCAACAAACTCATACAGGGGAGAGACCATTTAAATGTGTTGAATGTGGAAAGAGCTTCAGTCGAAATGATACACTTAGAAGACACAAACGAACTCATACAGGGGAGAAACCATTTGAATGTATTGAATGTGGAAAGAGCTTCAGTACAAGTGGAAAACTTAGAATACACCAAAGAATTCACACAGGGGAGAAACCATTTAAATGTATTGAATGTGGAAAGAGCTTCAGTGAAAGTGGAGCACTTAGAAGACATCAACGAACTCACACAGGGGAGAAACCATTTGAATGTTTTGAGTGTAGAAAGAGCTTCAGTGAAATTGGATCACTTAGAATACACCAACGAACTCACACAGGGGAGAAACCATTTAGATGTATTGAATGTGGAAAGAGTTTTAGCATAAGCGGAGCACTTAGAATGCACCAACGAACTCACACAGGGGAGAAACTATTTAAATGTATTGAATGTGGAAAGAGCTACAGTCAAAGTGGATCACTTAGAAGACACCAACGAACTCACACAGTGGAGAAACCATTTAAATGTATTGAATGTGGAAAGAGCTACAGTCTAAGTGGAGCACTTAGAATACACCAACGAACTCACACAGGGGAGAAACCATTTAAATGTATTGAATGTGGAAAGAGCTTCAGTGAAAGTGGAGCACTTAGAAGACATCAACGAACTCACACAGGGGAAAAATCACAGATACTTTAATAAACCGTATAAGTGTTCTTTACCTTTCCTTCTATGCTTCCCTGCAATACTGATAAAATCAAACCACGCGAATGCTTTCAGCCCCAGAAGAGGAGCTCCCCTTGGTGTCAGGGGAGGGGTCCAAGGGAGCATCTGAAGCCCTGCCATTCCTTCTGTCCCTGGCCCCTTCCCCTCCTCTCTCTGCCATCCCAGGGCCACTCTTGACTCCACAGCAGGAGACTGGATCTGTCTGTGATGGTGAGATGTCCTGGCTGGTTGAAGGACCACTTCCTGTTTCCTGGAGCTCCATCCTTTCTCATGCAGGGTGGAGTCATGAAGCAGGTGAAGGCTCAGCACACCTAAGGGTGGCGCAGCGGGTGGGTGGGATTCTGCTTAACCTTTCCCCGTCTGCTCCTTTAATGGATCCAAATCCCCACACCAAAAGGGGCAGTGTGAGGGCGCAATCAGTGTTATGGAGCTGCACTGAAAATCATTTCTTTGTGACTGTAAGAGGCCCTTCTCAAAAAAACAAGCATCAAGAGAATTTAAGTTATAGAATTTAAAACAAACAGATAATTACAAAAAAAGAAAGCAGTCTGGTGCCACATTGCGTAGGAGTTACTTTAGCACACTTTACCTGTGGCTTCCTTTGAAAAGAGCTCAGAAACTTCAATGGCTCAAAGAGCTGCAGACACTTTGCTGACCAGGGCTGGCTATAGGCAGCATAGGACTCCCATATTAGTACAGCTCCGTCTGCCTAATTGTCTGTTTCTGGACACAATCAATGTGTCCACAAGAAGAGGAAGATAGATTTGAGGAAGGCCAACCTGCAGAGGCACTACAAGTCGAAGCACATCCAGTACCAGGAGTTCCAAGGGCAGCTGCACCAGGAGAAGGTCAAGGCGCTGAAAACGGACCTGTTGGGTAACCTGTGGCCCCTCCAGATGATGTGAAATTGCAACTCACGTCTTCTTTAGCCGTTGGCCACGCTGGCTGGGGCTCATGGGAGCTGGAGTCCAAGGATCTAGGTGCACAAAGGCCGGGGACATTTCAAATCCCTCCTCAGTCGTGAAGCCGATTGGGCGACTTAAAGCTGGTCACCATCTTTATGCAAAACCTCCCTCGCAGGGTTGCTGTGTGCGTGAAAGCAATATATCTTGTGGTGGGCTTGATGAGGGGAGTGTGGAACAGAAATGTAATTCATAGGTAAGAAGACAGGAAATAGTTCTGAATCTGACTGAAAATAAAGGATTCTTTGTCTCCAAATTGCACGTAGCAAGCACCTGTGTTGTTGAACTCTAGCTGAAGTCTCAACATCTGGTTCCTCAGCACTCTGCACTCTCTCTCTGGAAACCTCCAGCTGTCAGGTGACAGGAACCAGCCAATGCCTCCCAGTTCAGAAACAGTCTGCCAAGAGCTGAGATTGGAAGTGGACAACCAAGGAAACTTAGGGGAGCATTTTCATTTCCGTGCTTATGAATATTGATTTGAATCAATTCATCTGATGTGTTCAAAATAGTAGAGGAAATTTATGGTTGACACCACCTTGGGATAGTTTTGACAGGAATTCGGGGAACTAGGAATATTTTTAGTTCCATCTGGGTTGATGGATCATTAAATAGCTAGAGAGGATTAAGGGGTGGGGGCGGGAATCAGGCCTTGTTTCTCATGTGACAGATAACCGATTCCACAGTTCTTAAATGTGACCATTTGCGACACAAGATCTACCCACCAGGGAAGAATGGCAGATGAAGGTGATGGACTATATGGAACTGGCAGAATCCGAGACCAGGGAGAAGAGTTGGTGGAAGAAGATTGGAAGAAATTTAAAGACTATTTACAGAAACATTGTAAAATTAATGAATGTTAGAAAGATTGGAATGAACTTATGTGGTTTTAGCAGAAATGTTATAAAGGATTAGGAAAAAATAGACTGTTAATTGGTGAAACGAGGGAAAGTAAAGTTATATCATATTAAGATAAATTACAGGACAAAAATTGGAAAAGATGGAAAGGATTTGCTGAAATAGTTAACCAAACTAGAAGGTCAAGAAAACAAGCTAACGAATGATAAGTTATGGGAAGATTCGATGTTTTATTTTTTTAATGGACTTTTTTTTCTGTTTTTGTATTTTCTTTTTTTTCTTTTCTTATTATGATGTGTTGTTTTTGATGTTGTTTAATGTGATGTTATTATTTTTTCTTTTTGTAACCTTTAAAACCTTAATAAATATTATTAAAAGTAAATAAATAAATGTGACCATTTGCTGCCTCCCAAAATTATGCTTAAGCCTTTCCCCTCCCCCCCCAAAAAAACAACAACAATTCAAACATGGTAGCTGGTCTTGTCAAACGGGCCAATATAAGGTTCATTTGGAAAGTTTGTTGTTGTTTAGTCGTTTATTTGTGTCCGACTCTTCATGACCCCATGGACCAGAGCACGCCAGGCATTCCTGTCTTCTACTGCCTCCCGCAGCTTGGTGAAACTCATGTTCGTAGCTTTGAGGACACTGTCCAACCATCTCGTCCTCTGTCGTCCCCTTCTCCGTGTGCCCTCCATCTTTCCCAACATCAGGGGGGTCTTTTCCAGGGAGCCTTCTCTTCCCATGAGGTGGGCAAAGTATTGAAACCTCAGCTTCAGTATGTGTCTTTCCAGTGAGCACTCAGGGCTGATCTCCTTCAGAATGGATAGGTTTGATCTTCTTGCAGTCCATGGGACTCTCAAGAGTCTCCTCCAGCACCATAATTCTTTTTTTTATATAATAAATAATATTTATTAAAGTTTCAAAGAATTAAAAAAATAAAAAGAAAGCAGAAAAAAACAAAGTACAGAAAAATAAAAACAATTAAAAACAAATCAATCTTTACATGTCTTGTCTTTCATTTACTTGTTTCCCTGACCTCCTCACACCTCCTTTTTTTGTATTCTAGTTCAATTAGTTACTTCAGCATATCCTTTCCATTTTTGCTTTTATCTTAATGATTTATCTTAATATATTGTAACTTTGCATTCTCACCTATTCATGATCTATTTTTTTAAATGATATTTTATTAAGTTTTAAGAATAACAACAAAGAGAAAAAGGAAAAAACATATACAAAAAATATAAAATTATAAAATACAAAAAATACAAAAGTTTAACTTAGAAAAGAAAGGGGGGGAAAACAAAAAAGAAAGAAAAAAGCACATTAAAAAACCCCCACAAAAATCCCTCTTTTTAATTCCTCATCTTTGATTCACTTATTTTCCTGACTTCCTCACGTCTCCCTTTTTTGTATCCCTTTTGAAAATTAGTTCAGCAAATTCATATCCAATTAATTTATCTATTATCAATCCAATCTTATTTTTTACTTTGTTGCTAGAACCCCTTCAGTTCATTTCAATGCCATGAACATTCAAAAATTTTACAATGTTTCTGTAAATAAATTTTAAATTTCCTCCAATCTTCTTCCACCAACTCTTCTCCCTGGTCTCGGATTCTGCCAGTCATTTCCGCCATTTCCATGTAGTCCATTACTTGCATCTGAATTTTACCTAATTCTATAACATTACTGCTAAAACCGCATAACTTCATTCCAGCATCCTTCTAACATTCCTTAATTTTACAATGTTTCTGTAGATAGTCTTTAAATTTCTTCCAATCTTCTTCTGCCGACTCTTCTCCCTGGTCTCAAATTCCGCCAGTCATTTCCGCCAGTTCCATGTACTCCATCACCTTCATCTGCCATTCTTCCCGGGTGGGTAGATCTTGTGTCTTCCAATACTTTGCGATAAGTATTCTTGCTGCTGTTGTAGCATACATTAAAAAATTTCTATCCTTCTTTAACACCAACTGGCCGACCATGCCCAGGAGAAAGGCCTCTGGTTTCTTCAGGAAGGTATATTTTAATAGCTTTTTCATTTCATTATAGATCATCTCCCAGAAAGCCTTAATCTTTGGGCACGTCCACCAAAGGTGAAAGAATGTACCTTCATTTTCTTTACATTTCCAACATTTGTTATCGGGCAAATGATATATTTTTGCAAGCTTGACTGGTGTCATGTACCACCTGTATATCTTTTCAATAATATTCTCTCTTAAGGCATTACATGCCGTAAACCTCATACCGGTGGTCCACAACTGTTCCCTGTCAGCAAACATAATGTTATGACCAATATCTTGTGCCCATTTAATCATAGCAGATTGAAAGTGTCTTAGTTTTGGGATCTAACAATTCTGTTTCCAATTTTGATTTTTCCACCTGGAAGCCAATTTTTTTGTCCAAATTATAGGCCTCTCTTATTTGATAATAATGAAGCCAGTCTCGCACTTTATCTTTTAATTTCTCAAAATTCTGCAATTTCAATTTATCTCCTTCTTGTTCCAATATTTCCCAATATTTCGGCCATTTGGCCTCCATATTGAGCTTTTTCTGAGCCTTCGCTTCCATTGGTGACAACCACCTTGGGGTTTCATTTTCCAGTAAGTCTTTGTATCTTATCCAGACATTAAACAATGCTTTCCTTACAATATGGTTTTTAAATGCTTTATGTGCTTTAACCTTGTCGTACCACAAATATGCATGCCACCCAAAAACATTGTTAAAACCTTCTAAGTCCAAAATGTCCGTGTTCTCAAGAAGCAGCCAGTCTTTCAACCAGCAGAATGCTGCTGATTCATAGTAAAGTTTAAGGTCTGGCAGGGCAAATCCGCCTCTTTCCTTTGCATCAGTTAATATTTTAAATTTTATTCTGGGCTTCTTGCCCTGCCAGACAAATCTAGAAATATACTTCTTGAAACAGTCCATCTTGTCCAAAATTTGCAACGATTGAAACAGAAATAACATTTTTGGCAATACATTCATCTTTATAGCTGCAATTCGACCCAACAAGGAAAGCTTCAAATTTGACCATATTTCTAAGTCTTTTTTCACTTCTGTCCAACATTTCTCATAATTATCTTTAAATAAATGTAAGTTCTTAGCCGTCATATTAACCCGCAGATATTTTACTTTCTTAACTAAAGTTAAACCTGTCTCCTTCTGAAACCTCTCTTTCTCAATTGATGTTAAATTTTTCTCAAGAACTTTGGTTTTTGACTTGTTCAGCTTAAATCCTGCCACATGACCAAATTCTTGAATTAGTTCTAATACTCTTTTCATACTAAATTCTGGCTCCTGTAACGTCAAAACTAGGTCATCTGCAAAAGCTTTCAATTTGTATTGTTTGGCTCCGACCTGGATACCTTTAATCAGACGGTCCCTTCTAATCATATTTAACAAAACCTCCAGGACCGAAATAAAAAGCAATGGGGAAATTGGGCAGCCTTGTCGTGTCCCTTTCTCTATCTTAAATTCCTCTGTCATCACATTATTGACTATTAGCTTAGCCTTTTGTTCTGAATAAATTGCACTTATACCATTTTCAAACCCTTGACCCACCCCCATCCCCTGAAGATTTTTCTTCATAAAATTCCAAGAAATATTGTCAAAGGCTTTCTCCGCATCTATAAAAATTAAAACTGCTATAGTATTAATATTCACTTGCAACTTCTCCAAAATGTTAATTATGTTCCTCGTGTTGTCATTATCTTTTAAAATTTTGGTTCTCAAGGAAGAGGCAGCCCAGGAATACAAGGCAGGAATTTACCTGGGATCTTGCTAACAAAATCCTTTCATAGCTTTTTGTGAGGGATTTGCGGCTGCTAATCTTAAAGCCAGGATGAGCACTCAGAATTGGGCATCATTTCCTCTGTTATTAAAAATAAAATACTTGTTCTGCTTCTAAAGAAACCCTTTAGAATGCATTCTTATTCTTTTTTCATAAAAAAATTCAAACAGCTGTGCAAAGGTGCTCCTGTGCAATACAATGTCAGAATAACAAAATAATGAAACATCTCACAAGAGCCTTGTTTTTTAAATATACAGCTAAAAAACCTTAAAACTCCTACAACACTTACCAAATAGAAATCTAATAGCTGGCCCCCCAGGCACTAGGAGGCAACCTGATGTTCAAGGCTTCACCCCACCCCCAAACTCTGAGCTTTTGCCTGGAGCATTTGAGGGGAAAGAGAGAGAACATTGGGGCATACGAAGCAGACATAGAAAAAGAAAGTGACAACCTGCTTGTAAGTGTCATTGTTACTTGGAAGGGAACAAGCCCTGTAAGTTTAATGTACATATAATGCTGTGCTTGAATGCATTGTAATAAAAATACTATAAAGGGAAGTTTCTCTTAGACTTAGGCAAGAGGTTCCACTCTGACAAAAGCATCAGAGGAGGCTGGATCTTTCCTCATAACTCATCGCTGGAGGCATAAGCTGCAGAGCTCTCACGGAAGGAAGCTTAAACTTGAGAAGCCAGTGTGTTCTTGCTGGAGATGGTTGGAGAAGCAGCAGCAGCAGTTGCAAATAAGTCATGCAGTGTTGAAGAAGCTTAGGATCTCCCTCTGGGACCAGGGATAGGAAAGCTGACTGAATTACATAAAGGACTGAACATTGTTTGCAATGTGCTACTTTATCATGCTTATCTTATTGTTAGACTGTTTAAGACTGTTCTGCGGTAAAGCTTCAAAACTTATTTTTGTGATGGAGGGAATTCATTCCCACACAAGGTCCAGATCATGAAGACCATGGAACAACTTTAACAGCAAGTACTTGAAGGGTACTTCAACAAGTACTTCAACAAGTACTTGAAGGGACGCGGGTGGTGCTGGTTGTTAAACCACAGAGCCTAGGGCTTGCCGATCAGAAGGTTGGCAGTACCGCTCTGGCGGGAAGGTAAACGGCGTTTCTGTGTGCTGCTCTGGTTCACCAGAAGTAGCTTAGTCATGCTGGCCACATGACCCGGAAGCTGTACGCCGGCTCCCTCGGCCAGTTAAGTGAGATGAGCGCCGCAACCCCAGAGTTGTCTACAACTGGACCTAATGGTCAGGGGTCCCTTTACCTTTACTTGAAGGACCAAACCAAGAATTACAACAATCTCTTCCTCAAAATGGTTCAGCCTCCACCACCTTTACTCCAGTCACTGAAGGCAACCAACTATGTCCTGGGCCCCCCAATCTTTCTCACTGCCAATGAAAACTAATAAATGAAAAGGAAGAGAACCTACCCATGTCACACTGACACAAACACCTTGCATATGAACTTTGTAAAATAATGAAAGTGTACTACCCCTCCACCCCCCGGCTTGCTCTCCCCACCTCTCAATTCCCCAACCTTACACTGTATACAACATTAAAGTCTGTCTGTCTGTGAATTTTTATGAGAGTAGCTTATAGTTAGGAAGCCAACACCCTCCCTTCAGATGTGAAGGAAATAAGCAACTATCCTATTCTAAAAGACATCTGAAGGCATCCCTGTTTAGGGAAGTTTTTGATATTTAATGCTGTACTGTTTTTAATGCTTGATTGGAAGCTGCCCAAAGTGGCTGGGGAAACTCAGCCAGATGGGCGGGGTATAAATAATACATAATAATAATAATAATGTAATGATCTTCCTCTGTTTCACTTCAGATAATTCAGTGGGGCCTCTTCTCAGTTCATTCTCTTCTGGATCAGTGCCTTAATCCTTTGAAGATTTTGTATATCACAGAATAGTCATTGAGATGTCCCCAGATGTTGTTGTCAAGTTCCCATCAGCTTCAGCCAGCAGGGCAGACAGTCAAGGATGATAGAAACTCCAATCTGGACCTCACCACCTGGACTCTGCTGCCCTATATCCTTCCCATTGAAAGAAATGTGAAAATAAATTTTGGACGCTATAGATTTATCCTGGTCTGGTGCATGCAATGTCTTTTGTTTTGCAGCTGTGTGATTTGTGCTCATATTGTATTGTGGTGGCCATTGGCTATAAACAATAAAATTTATAGATACAGTAGATTGAAATGCAAAAATAAGTAATAAAATATATAAAACGATTTTATTTTTTTGGTCCTCACTCCCAAATGGTGTGTGTTTTGGGTTATATTTTGCTTTTGGTTATATTGGGGGTGGCGTGGGGAGTGGAGAAGTATTAAAGCCAAAATCGCTCCCCTCTTCTGCTAAATTGATGCAGGAGACCAGAGGCAGTGAATGAAAAAGCAGGGAAAGAGAAACCCTCCAAGTGCTGTAACCTTATTCCATTTCCCGTGCCGCTGCCAAGGGATCGAAGGAGACAAGAAACACCAGGGTGTGGTTCCACAGAGAAAAGGATTTATTTGAGATCTGCGCAGAGGCAACCAGGGCTCCCCCCTGCCTGCCTTCCCGGGAGAGCAGGAAAGAAAGGCCGGCGGGGGGCGAAAGTCTTTGCTCCCCCCTGCCTGCCTTCCCGGGGGCTTTTAAATCGCCCTGGGACAGCGGAGAAGTCCCCCGCTGTCCCGGGGCTTTTTAAAATGCTGGCGGGCGGCAGCGGAGGCTTCGCTCCCGCCCGCCAGCATTTTAAGATCGCCCCGGACAGCGGAGAAGTCCCCCGCTGTCCCGGGGTTTTTAAAAATGCTGGGGGTGGGAAGAAAAGCCCTTGTCCCCCCCCCCCAGCCTTCAGAAGAGGTCAGGGGACAGACTGTCCCCGGACCTGGTCTGAAGTCGGTTTCCATAGGAACGCATTAATTGATTTTCAATGCATTCCTATGGAAAACCGTGCTTCGCAAGACGAAAAACTCGCAAGACGACAAAACTTGCGGAACGAATTAATTTCGTCTTGCGAGGCACCACTGTACTTCCATAAACCTTGATGTTTCCCCCAGTCTTTGGATAACTTCCCCTCCTCCGTGGGTGGAGCCGTTTGGGTGACATAATGATTGTCATTCATAGCCTGAACATTAGAAATAGAAAGAGTAATAATATATTTCAAAAACTGGCAAATGGTTAAAAATTGTGCTTTTGTTTTTATTCTTGAGTTTTATTTTACTTTGTGTTTATTTCTTTTCCAGGAGGGTGATGTAAAAATTGAAGAGCAGGGACCCAGGGAGAGGGAGAGACTGGAGTGCAAAGGAAAGAAACCTCCTGCCGGCCAAGTTGGGACCATCAGGGATCTTCTGCCTCGGGCAGATTTATGTCAGATTAAGCAGGAGCCAGAGGAGGGGCAGCCGCAGCAGCACTGGGAGGCCCAGAAGCAGGATTTCCTGAAGACGATGCAGCCCCCTCGTTCAGGGTGGGAAACCCCACAGGCTCCCAGTCCTCCCCACTCTGGGGATGGTGTCCTCTCCTTCAGGGGAGCTGCAGATGCCAGTCGGTGGCCCAGTGGGAGAGCAGGGGGGACAGACCAGACCCTGCTCCCAGACACTGAGGGGCTTCTGGGAAAGGTAAGTGCCCTCCTCTCACCTGGGTTTCCAGGACCTGGAGGTCACAGGTCCAGTGCCTCTAGACATGGAGGTTCTGTTTAGCTATGGTGGTGAATATTCCTCCTCCCTGCACTTCCACTCTAATCCACTTTAAAAAGGCTTGCTAGACCAAACTTTCTTACACATGGGAGGTTTGCGATCATATCTCCTGATGTTGTTACTTTAATAAAGCAACCACAGGGGACTCTGAATTTCATCAGAGCAGAAGCTATGTCAGAAGAGGGGTCCTTCCACCACCCCCCTTTTTCCTCCTTTAAATTTCCTGCATTTCCCCACTGGGGTAGAAATCTTGGCACATCTTGCAGCCTCAGCACTGCCATGTGCAGTTCAAATAGAATAACACTGGCCTACCTTGCAAGGTTGTTGCAAGATTTATAAAGATAATGGCCAGGTTCAGATGACTGAATCACAGCCTGAAAAGCTGGGTTAAAAATAGGAACAGTTTTTAATGCATTGCTGCAGCAAAGTTATGCTAAAACCCAAGTTGACCCAAGTTTAAAACTAAAAACTCTAGCCGCCACCCCAGTCTCCTGAACCCCACAACCAGAATGCATCACTCCAGGAAGTACACCCACCCAACCTTTAGTGAGAGAGGGGAAAAGAGAAGGACTCCGCATGGGTAGTTGCACAAATTTACCAGCTGTGGTCCTGCACTGGCAGCGAGGCTAACAAACAGGGGAGCTGGGAACGTGCTGGTCCCGTATCTCCCTGCATCTGCCTCCTGACCTAATTGTCCCACCTTACCTCATGATTGGGCCGGCCCTGAGGGTGAACTGTGATGAAACCAGGCAGTCTCTTATGAGCCATAACTAACAAACTTTCCATTTTGCCCAAACCAGGAAACTACAGCTGCCAGCTTTGGAATAAACTGGGATATTAAGCTAACTTCAAACTGTGCTTGGTGAAAACAGGAAACTCTGGCTGATCAGTGGCTTTGTGGTTTGACTGATTCCACTGATAGTAGTAAAAATAGGAAGTCCTGTTGCATTCGAAGGGGACAGCATGCCTAGCATGCCTAGCAGGACAGGCTTAAAAAGGTAAAGGGACCCCTGATCATTAGGTCTAGTCGTGACCGACTCTGGGGTTGTGGCACTCATCTCGCTTTACTGGCCGAGGGTGCCGGCGTACCCCTTCCAGGTCATGTGGCCACCATGACTAAGCCGCTTCTTGCAAAGCAGAGCAGCGCACGGAAACGCCGTTTACCTTCACGCCTATTTATCTACTTGCACTTTGACGTGCTTTCGAACTGCTAGGTTGGCAGGAGCAGGGACCGAGCAATGGGAGCTCACCCCGTCGCGGGGATTTGAACTGCCAGCCTTCTGATCGGCAAGTCCTAGGCTCTGTGGTTTAACTCACAGCGCCACTCGTGTCCCAGGACAGGTTTGGGAATCTATTATTATTATTATTATTATTATTATTATTATTATTATTACTACTACTTGCATCCTCCCTATCTGACTGGGTTGCCTCAGCCCATCTAGGTAGCTTCCAAAAAAATAAAAACCATCAAAAATTTCCTTGTAAAAGGCTGCCTTGGAAGTCTTCCATTTTGTAGAAATGGCCTTCGGTTTTAAAGAATTGCCCTCTTTAAGTAATCACGTGGTGTAAACATGTATGTCGTCCTCTACGTCCAAACACACACAGACACATACATAGTAGGAGCAAGCAGTGCTCCAAAGTGCTTATCTTGCAAACTTGCCATCTAAGTTGTTTACTCCTGACCAAAGCTCCTGTTTCCCAAAAGGACAGGAGAGGGAGCAGAGGAGGAAACGGATGGGTTTGAAGGCTCTTTCCCTCAGCCGCCTCTCTCCCCTGAGGAACAAGAGCAAAGGGTGTTTGCAGGGCAGGAGGGCAGAGGGAGCAGTGGGTGGATCCACCGCCTCTCCCAGGGGGTTCAGATGCAAGCAAGGGGCTTCCTTCTTCTCCATGCAAGGGCCACCCATGTATTCAGAGCAGTCCTTTGCAGATGAACTCTTAAGTTCCAAGGGATCTCCTCTCAGGCCACTAATGTGCATACCATGCCAGCCTTAGGAAGGGAGATGGGACAAGCAGGTGAAAGGAATTGCCAAAGGTGTTTGAAAATGCGTGGGGGCTCTTGGGAAGGGGGTGCCCAGTTGGGGCTTCTCCAGGGGCAGCGGAATGTCTTGGGCAGGAGAATCCCTGCAGGGGCTCTCAGACTCCCTTGGCTTCTTCTTCCCTTCCTCCCAGGAAGCTGCAACTTGCTCTGGATTCTGCGCTCCTCAGGAAGCTGAACCTGCAAACCTAGCTGAGACTGAACCTGCAACCCTGGCCAGGATGGAAGGAGGAAGATGGACGGTTGACCTGGTCAGGCTGTCTCCCGCATCCCTCCCCACAACCTCTGAGCATTCCCTCCCAGGACCGTTGGAGAAATCTGGTGAGTTCCAGGGGAGAGGAGATGGGGACAGGGATAGATGGATGGTGGAGGGAGAAAGAGGAAAAGATGGAGAGGAGACAAATGGAAGGAAGTTCCTGACATTAAGAAGGAAAGAGTGAGGCCTTCTCCAAAGCAGCTCTTTGTTTCTTGAATCCTTTTCCTAAAGTAGTGGGGGCAGATTTTCTTCCTCCAGGCTTTGAAATCTTAGGTGTTATTTCCACGGTGGGAATAATTGATAATAATGATGTTGCACACCAATCCTGAAAAATCGGTGAAGGGGGATGGAAATGCTTCCCATAATTAGTTATAATTAATGTATTTAAATTGTTTCTGTTACTTTTATTTGTTGTAGACAGGGTCAGAGAGATACATTCCATCAGCATCAAAATACAATAAATGTAAGCACCTCCCCAGTTTGGTGGGCTTAGGGGACAAAGGACCCATTATCATGATACACAATTCCTGTGGCTGGAGGCTCTACACTTGGGATTGGACATATGAAGACCAACAGTGGCCAGTATTATTTACTCGGTTACTAATGATCGCCATAGAAGAAGAAGAAGCAAATTGTGCAAACTTGCCAATCTTACAGACTGGGATTGTGTGTTAGAGTGAGTGGGATAATAATTTATACCACCCTGTAATTTTGTCCGTCCCTAAGCTTACATGGAGATACTATGGTACAGCCTTGGTACAAATTTCAAAATAAGTACACAAAGCCAACAAAGAGAATCAGAAGTTTATAGTGGCACCACGTATCCTGCTCAAAATTCCACTTTGTCAGACTGCAGCCCACAGAAGCTTAGGCAATAATACATTTAACAGCCTTTAAGGGCTGCAAAAGATGAATAAACAGAAGCGTAGTTCATTTATGGAATCTATCTTACAGGAGACAGTGACGGCCAGCAACTTGCATAGCTTGAAAAAAAGGATAAGACTGACGTCTCTGCTCTGCCCTCGCGGTCCTAGACAATAACGCTTCTTAATACAGTGGTGCCTCGCAAGACGAAATTAATTCGTTCCGCAAGTTTTGTCGTCTTGCGAGTTTTTTGTCTTGCGAAGCACGGTTTCCCATAGGAATGCATTGAAAATCAATCAATGCATTCCTAAGGAGACTGTCAGGGACAGAGGGGAAGCGCCGCGCGCCTTCCCCTCTGTCCCCGGACCTGTTTTAAAGCAAGGGGCAGCGGGGAGAAGATTGCTTCTCCCCGTTGCCTGCCCCGCAATCTCCGGGGACAGCGGGTAAGACGCCAGCACTTTAAAAAACCTCGGGACAGCGGGGGACTTCTCCACTGTCCGGGGTGATTTTAAAATGCTGGCGGGCGGCAGCGAGCATTTTAAAATCGCCCCGGACAGCGGAGAAGTCCTCCGCTGTCCCGGGGTTTTTAAAAAACCTCTCCGCCCCCCCCCGCCAGGCTTCGGGGGAGGTCCGAGGACAGTGGGGAAGACGCGCTGCGCTTCCCCGCTGTCCCGGAGATTTCCCTATGGGCTTTCGTCTTGCGAAGGAAGCCCATAGGGAAATTCGTTTTGCGAAGCGTCTCCAAAACGGAAAACCCTTTCGTCTAGCGGGTTTTCCGTCTTGCGAGGCGTTCGTCTTGCGGGGCACCACTGTACTAGTTTCTGGAAAGCACAGGAAGGCAGAGAAGACTCTTGTGCTCCAATCCTGCTTGCTGGTTTCCCACAGGCATCTGGTTGGCCTCTGTGAGAAGAGGATGCTGGACTAGGTGGGCCTTTGCCTGATCCAGCAGGCTCTTCTTAGGTTCCATTATATTGCAATATTTTTACAGTTACATGTAGCACTTAAGTTTTACTTATTTCACAATGGAAACACTGTTACTTGAGCCTGAGATCATTTCTTCACTTCAGAAAGAAAAAATAGATGTGTCTAATAAGCCAGTTCCACCATAGATATGTATTATAAAACGATGGTGCTTTATTAAGTGTCAATGGAGTGATCATGTGTTGCTCCTGCCATTATCTCATCTGCTTTTCAAAAAATATGGAACCTAGAGAGGACAGTGGAGAATGAGGATGTTACAATGAGAGATGGTGCAGATTGGGATTGACAGGTGTTCAGTTCCCTTTTTGTCTTTCTTGAAAGTCTAACAGGATTCTCTTTGCCCCCAGACTCCCAAACAGGTGAGGAAGATGAAAGTCAGAATTCTATGAAGCCACATGAGAATTCATTGGGAAGAACAAAGAAACAGTTTAAATGTATGGAATGTGGGATATGCTTTTATCACAGTGGAAGTCTGAGGATACATCAACAAACTCACAAAGGAGAGAAACTATATGAATGTATGAAGTGTGGAATGAACTTTAGTCATAGTCAAGCACTTAGAATACATCAACGAACTCACACAAGGAAGAAACCATTTGAATGTATGGAATGTGGAAAGAGCTACAGTCGAAGTGGGGCACTTAGAAGACATGAACGAACTCACACGGGGGAGAAACCATTTAAATGCATGGATTGTGGAAAGAGCTTCAGTCGAAGTGATAGACTTAGAAAACATCAACGAATTCACACGGAGAAACCATTTAAATGTATTGAATGTAGAAAGAGCTTCAGTAAAGAAGAAGCACTTAGAATACACCAACGAACTCACACGGGGGAGAAACCATTTGAATGTAGGGAGCGCGATAAGAGCTTCAGTCGAAGTAGGGCACTTAGATTACATCAACAGACTCACACCGGGGAGAAACCATTTGAATGTGTGGATTGTGGAAAAAGCTTCAGTCAAAGCGGATATCTTAGAATACATCAACAAACTCATACAGGGGAGAAACCATTTGAATGTATTGAATGTGGAAAAAGCTTCAGTCACAGCGGATATCTTAGAATACATCAACGAACTCACACGGGGGAGAAACTATTTAAATGTATGGAGTGCAGTAAGAGCTTCAGTCAAAGTGGATATCTTAGAATACATCAACGAACTCATATGGGGGAGAAACCATTTGAATGTACTGAATGTGGAAAGAGCTTCAGTGAAAGTGGACCTCTTAGAAGACACCAACGAACTCACACGGGGGAGAAACCATTTAAATGTATTGAATGTGGAAAGAGCTTCAGTCGTAGTGGAACACTTAGAACAGTGTTTCCCAACCTTGTGCCTCCAGCTGTTTTTGGCCTACAATTCCCATCATCCCTTGCCACTGGTCTTGCTAGTCAGGGATGATGGGAGTTGTAGGCCAAAAACATCTGGAGGCACAAGGTTGGGAAACACTGACTTAGAAGACATCAACAGATACATACAGATAAACCATTTAAATGTATTGAATGTAGAAAGAGCTTCAGTCAATATGGACACCTTATAATACATCAGCGAACTCACACAGAGGAAAAACCATTTGAATGTATTGAATGTGGAAAGTGTTTCAGTCAAAACGGAACACTTAGAATACATCAGCGAACTCACACGGGGAGAAACCCTTTAAATGTATTGAATGTGGAAAAAGCTTCAGTGAAAGTGGGAAACTTAGAATACATCAACGAACTCACACAGGGGAGAAACCATTTGAATGTATTGAATGTGGAAAAAGCTTCAGTAGGAATGGAACACTTAGAATACATCAACGAACTCACACAGGGGAGAAACCCTTTAAATGTATTGAATGTGGAAAAAGCTTCAGTGAAAGTGGGAAACTTAGAATACATCAACGAACTCACACAGGGGAGAAACCATTTGAATGTGTGGATTGTGAAAAGAGCTTCAGTCGAAGCGGATATATTAGAATACATCAACGAAGTCACACAGGGGAGAAGCCATTTAAATGTATGGAGTGTGGAATGATCTTCAGTAAAAATGGACGCCTTAGAAGACATCAGCTAACTCATACACAATGAAAACTACAGGTGTATTGACTGTGGAAAGGGTTTCAGAGGGAGTGGAGACCTTAATATTCATTAGTAAATTCACATGGGGAAAATGATATAAATGTATAGAGTTTTCAACTCAGGGTTCACTACTTACATCAAGAAACTCATAAAGGGGGAAATCAGTTGTAAATGCATGGAATGATGTTTTAGTGTTTGTACTTAAATTTGTATACACATATATATGTATTAAAGTAATGAAGGTCACATATACTAAAAGTAAGTTGCAACTTTTTGCTAGATAAACAGGGAGAGAGTGTGAATCTGGAATGCTCAAGGTGTGTGTTGAGTTTTTAGGTCTGCCTTTCACTGCCCAAATGATGGGTTGCCCTTGTCTTGTAGATCAGCATTTCAGGCGCTCATTACTTGAACTTTGCATAATCTATTGAAGAGCTTTTTACTGATAGCATTTTCCAGGTGAATGAAAAGGTCTCTGTGTTAAATGTTCATTTGGGATTGCTTTTAAAACTCATCTCCTTTTTTCTGTGCTCTTGTGTACCTGCTTGGAGCTGTTTTTATTAAATATTTTCTGCATTGGCTTTTGACCTGTGGAAGGTGACCAGCGAGGGTGTGGTTTTTTGTGTTTCTTAGTTCAGAGAAATGTTTTAAAGGAATGTGTGAAAGAATTAGGGCTAGGGGAGATTAGTGAAAGGAACTGAGGAGTGAAGTGAAGATGGCTGTCAAGTCCCTGGACAGAGGTCCGCAACCTAAGGCGCACGGGCTGGTTCCGGCCCAAATGGGTTCTGGATCCAGCCCGCGGATGGTCCAGAAATTGCCTCATGGTTCTGATTCATATAGTTCAGGCTGCACCACTTTTTTCTTTCCCTGATCGCGGCACACCTCCTTCCCTTCTCCTGGCTTCTGCCCGCCCTGTGGAGGAAGGGGGCTAGACTTTGATTGGTGCAGGCAGCATTGTTTCCCTCTGATTGGTTGCAGAGTTCTTTCCTCCTCCCTCCCTCCTCCTAGAGCCGAGAGGAAAGGGCCTGGGCTTTGTTTGTGCCAGCGTGGTTGCTCGACGGCCGCCATTTAAGGCAGCCCCTCTCCAGCCCTCAAGTGGCTCACTGCTCCTGCCGCCGCAGCCAGTGGTTCCGTTCTGAGACACCCTCCCAGGGTTCTGGGGTGTATGAAGCCTTGTTCCCCTGTTTTTAACTCTGCTACTGAAACCGTCTTCCCCCTCCAGGACGGGAGAGCGGAGAACACGCGTCTTGCAGAAGGAACCGCTCGCTGCATTCGGTAGCGGAGTTAAAAACAGGGAATCAAGGCTTCGCACACCCCAGAACCCTGGGAGGGTGTCTCAGAACGGAACAGATATGCTACGGCGCAGAACTGAGACCTTCAGAACTTTATTATTGTTTTTTGATGCAATCTTTGGATCGTGTAGTAATGAGAGAGTGCGTATGCGCTCGCATACTCCGTCCTGCCACAAGGTTTGAGGACAGTGATCCGGCCCTCGACTTTAAAAGGTTGCTGATCCCTGTCTCTGGGTGTGCAAAAAAGAATTTGGAAGTGTTTGTTTTCATTCTTGGGGGCCATGATGTTTGGCAACCCTCTCTTTTTCAAGAGCTAATGTCAGGGCTATGAGAGGCTAAGGAAAAGCCTTCTGTTTGTTTTTAATTAAAAAAAACCTTCAAAATGTGACAAATGTTTGTGGGGGCTCCATCTGTTGCTGCTGCTGCTGAGGGGGCTCTGAATCTCACCCCCAAATGTCTGCCATGATGGTAGCAGGATGGGAGAAGTCAAGTGCCCAGAATCAAAAAGGAAAGTATTTCCTGCATCTTTCTTGAAGGAAATGGGTATTTCTGAAACCTCAGACAGAGTTCATGTTGACAGCATTGAAGCTGTTAATCATTAATGTCAGGGAACTGCCATCGCAACTAGTGGAGGAGGCGAGGCTCCACAGCGATGCTGGAGAGGGGCCAAGCAAGGAGAGAGGCAGGTCTCCGGCTGGGGAAGATAATCAGCGCTACACCAGAAATAGAGGGGGGCCGATGGGGGAAGCGGAGAGGAGGCTCCAGGACTCTTCGCAGGAGACCAGCGAGGAGAGCACAGGTCCTCTGCTGCCCAAACCCACCCTGCGCAGAAGACTTCCGCGCAGTGAAAGTAGGCGGCGACTTGGCGTCAAAGAGCTTCTTTGCTGGAAGAGGTTCAAGAAACGCCCACAGACGGATTCTGCTAGCGACTGAACAGCCACAAAGTGAAGGGCTGTCCAGCCAGGAAAGGTTTAACCAGGCCACCTAGCCAGGAGTGGCGGCAACTTACGCACGAGCAACCCCACATAACCATTACAATTAACCACTTAATGTCATATTTATCACTGCTGATGAAAAGAGTCTACCCTTCAAAGAAACAGGCGGCATTTCATACAATATAATGATGTCCTAAACAAACAATCAGACCCAGAAACTCCAGCAGCTGCAGAATGCCATGGCGAGGCCCCTTACGGGGTCCTTGCCATGGGATCACATTCATCAATACAATACGATACGATACGATAATCTTTATTGTCATTGTCCCATACAGAACAACCAAATTGAAAAAATCTACATCAGACATTCCAAAACCAACACTGATTCCCATAATTAAATACAATATACTCACATAGAGACTACCTTACACTGCGTTTAAAACCAAAATCGCATTTGGATAGAAACTGTTTTTCAGTTTCATCCAGTGCTTTACCAACAGCACTAGTTCCTGGTGGAGTACAGGGTCAGGTTTAAGGTGCTGGTTTTGAGCTATAAAGCCCTATGCGGCCTAGGACCCACGTACCTAGGGGACCGCCTCTCCTGGTATGCCCCACGGAAGACTTTAAGGTCCACAGATGACAACACTTTGGAGGTCCCAAGTCACAAGGTGGTTAGATTGGTCTGAACTAGGGCCAGGGCCTTTTCCGTACTGGCCCTGACTTGGTGGAACGCTCTGTCACAAGGGACAAGGGCCCTGAAAAAGTGTCTCCACCCCCTTCGTTCTACCCGGACACTGAGGTCCAGCGCTGAGGGCCTTCTGGCGGTTCCCTTACTGCGAGAAGCCAAGTTTACAGGGAACCAGACAGAGGGCCTTCTTGGTAGTGGCGCCTTCCCTGTGGAACGCCCTCCCACCAGCTGTCAAAGAGAGCAACAACTACCAGACTTTTAGAAGACATCTGAAGGCAGCCCTGTTTAGGGAAGCTTTTAATGTTTGATGTATTACGGTATTTTAATATTTTGTTGGAAGCCGCCCAGAGTGGCTGGGGAAGCCCAGCCAGATGGGTGGGGTATAAATAATAAATGATGATGATGATTTTTGTTGGAAGCCGCCCAGAGTGGCTGGGGAAGCCCAGCCAGATGGGTGGGGTATAAATAATAAATGATGATGATGATGATGATGATGATGGGCATCTTTCCGTAGGGCCTGTAAGACAGAGCTGTTCCGCCTGGCCTTTGGTTTGGACTCAGTCTGACCCTTATGTTTCCCTCCCCTTATGGTTTTGATCTATGGGCTACTTTTAAAATGAGGCTGCATTTTAAATTGTATTTCAACTTGTATTTTGAATTGGGTTTTTCCCCCTATTATGTTTTTATTGTAATTTTACTGGTGTTAGCCTCCTGGGGAGGGCGGGGCATAAATAAAATTTATTATTATTATATATTTGACTTCTGGAAGGTGGGGCAAGATGCGGAGGGAATCTGTATTACATCTGGAGGAGAGAAGGCGGAAGGGGGGGGGAGCCCAGTGCACCCAGAAGACGCCAGTTGTTGGTTGTAGTTGCATCTATACAAAGTGCATAGCCTTTGTCCCTCCATAAAGAAATGGGGGGGGGTGAAGGCTGAGCACACACCTAAGGGCGACACAGAGAGAGGGGTGGATTCTGCTGTATCTTTCCCTGTCTGGATCAAAATCCACACACAATAGGGCAGGGTGAGGGCACAATCAATGATGTTATGGAGCTGTGTTGAAAGGCATTGCTTCATGACCCTAAGAACCCCTTCTCAAAAAACAAGCAATTCAGAGAATTTAAACTGCAAACACATACATACACACACACAAAAAAAACAACAACACACGTTTAGAACAGATAATTACCCCCCCAAAAGAAAGCAGTCTGGTGCCACATTGGGTAGGGGTCACTGTAACACACTCTACATGGGGCTGCCTTTACAAAGAGCTCAGAAACTTCAATGGCTCAAAGAGCTGCAGACACTTTGCTGACCA